GCCGCATTTTGAACTAGCTGGAGCCTCCGGGTGCTCCTCAAGGGAAGCCCCATGTAGAGAGCATTGCAGTAGTCCAGGCGGGAGGTCACAAGGGCATGAGTGACCGTGCGTAAGGCGTCCCGGTCCAGAAACGGCCGCAACTGGCGGATCAGGCGAACCTGATAAAACGCTCCCCTGGTCACGGCCGACAACTGGTCATTCAATGTCAACCGTGAATCCAGGAGAACACCCAAGTTGCGGACCCGATCTGAGGGGGCCAAAGTTTCGCCCCCTATAGTCAGCGATGGAGTCAGCTGACTATGCCGAGGCGCCGGCAACCACAGCCACTCGGTCTTGGACGGGTTGAGTCTGAGTCTGTTCCTCCCCATCCAGACCCTCACGGCCTCCAGGCATCGGGCCATAATAATTAATAATAATTAATAATTAAGTTGTGGAAACTAAAGAATATTCGGTGAATGCGTTATCAACAAGAATAAAAATATATTGATTCAGAGGAAGCTTGCAGTATGAAGTATAGACTAAAAAAACAGTGCATATGAACGCCTGGTAGAAATTAACCTTTGTCTTGTAGGATTACTTCTGTTTCTCTCATATTTTACTGGCCATATGGGTCTTTTCTCCACAGTTAATTTTTAGTCTTGCTATGAAGTATAAAAATATACTTGGTAGATGGAACATTGCCAGGCTAGATCAAACTTTCCAGATTAATGACATACAAGAAACTTATTCATCTTTGTACATTGTGAATGAAAAGGACAAGAAAAATGACATACAAAGTAATTTATTTTCTTTCATTAATTATGAGTTATTTGTTCAGAGCCTGTTATGTGTAATTGTTTTCACAGGGCTGTTGTTACAGAAACTGAAATTGTCTAGTGTTACTGAAACATTCTATATACTTTATTTCAGTAGAATTTAAGTATTTTTATCCTTACGTATATTTACCCAGTTTCTTAAACAGATAACCTACATTCATCAATCCCTTGTATTTTACCATTTCTCCTTTGAGCTTTTGTAGTTTTACAATTTATTATTCTTAACTGCGTGTTCTTTTACTTTTTAATGCTCTTATTTCAGAAATCAGTTCTTGTTATTTTTAAGGTAAATTGTATGGATAGAAATTCAGCAAGCTTGAGTCAAGCATCACAGCATCCCCTCCTGGTATATGTCTGGGTCAGCTTTGGGGGCTGGAGGGAATAGTTCTTTGGTGGTAATCCTTCGTTTATGGCTGATTCCAATCAGTGTTAATGATGAGGCAGAGGTCTAATTGTCTGCATTGTGGGGTATCTCAGGTTTCAAGTCTCTTGCCATTCCTTTTCATTCATGAAAATGCTGTATTTGGGCATGGGGTTACATGTTTCAGGCAATGCTGTTGAGCTGCTAATCCAGTTTCTAGAGGCTGTGAGGGCCTTTATAGGGATGATCTGGCTCTAAATGCAGAGCAAGATGGAGTGGCTCTGCGTTTTTGGCCTTAGATCTGGCGGGGTATTATTTTTGTTTTTTGATGGAGTAGCATTTGTCCAGACAGAGCTAGTGGTAGTATGGGTTTTTTTCCCCTGGATTTACTGCTCCTGCTCAAGGAGTAAATGCCAGCCATGCTTACCTTTGTACAGATTCATCTTATGCACATGTTGCACCCATCCTTGGACCTTTAAAAGAGTTGCTCACATTCACTCATGCCTGGAACGCTTTCTGATTGGATTATTGCAAAGTGCTTTACAAAATGGGACTGTACTTGAAAATCACCAGGAAGTTAGAACTAGTCCAGAATGTGGCAGCACAAGCAGTTTTGGGCACCTTTCAGTTTGTCCATATTACACCACACTTGCGTGAGCTGCACTTCCAGATGTTTTCTAAATAGAATGCAAGGTCCTGTTGATCACCTTTAAAGCTTCTGAATGGCAAGGGGCCAAATTATTTGCAGTACTGTTTCTCCCCAAGAGAATCTGCTCCTTCTACTGAGTCAGATAAACTGGGCATACTCCAGGTCTCTTCTTTTAAAAGTGGTAGACTTTAAAAGGAGAGACTGGAGCTGAGGGATTGTAATTGTTTATATATTAAGGAATGCTGTTTTAGAGCACCGTGATTTTTTTTGTTTATTTTGGCTTTAATGTTTTCTTTGATGTTTATTATTGGTTCTATGAGTGACCAAAGTTTGTGGTACATAAGATGGGTGGCCATGTATTTTTTTATATAAAGGTATGCTTGCATCTATCTATCCATCCATCCATAATTACTTACATGTGTACATACATCTGAAAAACTAACAAGCCCTGGAAAAAAAAATCAATTCAGCACCATTTTGAGAATTTCCATATTTTTTTCAGATAATTTCTTCTTTTGACCAGGTCAGATCTGTAGCATATGCTCAACATGAGTCTAAATAGTCTGCATGAACTTTTTATAAATGTTATTGACCTTAAGCCTCTAGTCCAGTTAGCATATATAAATTATATATAAATTATAGACAAAATCAGAGCTAAAAAGCTTATATCCCTTTTGGCTCATAGGGAGGGTGAAAAGTAGATCCCTATATCTGATAATCTATGAAGACTTTCAGTTTACTGTACGTATAATACAGATTGAAACTCATTTGATCTTCTTCTGGAATGCAGGACCTGTCAGTCACTCCCAAGATTTGTAAATAGTCACATGCTTTTCTGCTTTTCAGATAAAGAAATATACTTGAAATATTATGGAAAAGATGTAGTCAAAGTATTAGAGAAACATGGAAATATATCAATAGAAATGATATGAATTGAAATTGTAGGATGAAGGATGAAAGATTGTGGTAGCAGTGAAATGCTGGATCTGGAAGCTAAACAGAATCAGGCCTGTTTAATACTTGCATTGGAAACTAGCAGGAAATTCTGGGGCTGTAGGCCACACTGGGAAGTTGAAAAACATCTCAGAAGGCAATGATGCATTTTTCCCTATTGTTTCCAAGAAAACTTATCTGTGTCTATGTAATCACAGGAGTTAAGCATTGTCTTCACAAAAGAAGCTAATGCTTTATTAATTTTAGGATTGTTGAGAGGATTCTCACTGTAATATTCACTTATCAGTAAGTGAATGTCACGTACTTATTCTCTTCTTTGGAAAATTTTATTTTTTTCCATAGAATGGATGCATCCCCTCATAATCTATTTTCTGTTCCATGTAGGTTAGCTTCTCATAATAGAGATAATAGGTGAGAATGGTGTGTATTTGTTGCTTTAATATTTTAGTCATTACCTTCAAGGGAGGAAGCACTATGTGGAGGAGAACACCACACTCTGTTAATTCATCATATGTAAACAAAAACCAACGTTATCTTTATTAGGATAATGCATCCTAACTTTTAAAAAATAAACTCAATATATTTTTTTACATTTTTTTACTCTTACATACATATGAATATTTACCTACAATTCTTCTTTTTGGTGCAGGAAACTACACCAACAGTTTGAAATGTATAAAGAACAGGTGAAGAAAATGGGTGAAGAATCACAGCAGCAGCAACAGCAGCAGCAGCAGCAGCAGCAGCAGCAACAACAGAAGGGTGACGCTCCAACCTGTGGCATTTGTCACAAAACAAAATTTGCTGATGGCTGTGGCCATAACTGTTCATATTGCCAAACTAAATTTTGTGCACGTTGTGGAGGACGAGTATCTTTACGTTCAAACAAGGTATGTATATGTTAAATAAACTTTTATTCTGATGTTGATTATTTCATTTGTTTACCATTTTTTCCAAGTCTGATACCCACATTTTAATTGGCATACTTGGGACTGCACTATATACTGCAGTGGGTGGGCCCAGAACAAAATTTGATTTCACTCAGAGATAGATAAAATTAAATATATTTATGACTAAATAACCTGTGATCCTTGGTTCATCATTTAGTCATATTTATGACTAAATAACCTGTGATCCTTGGTTCATCAGTTCAGTAATTCCTCACCAAATTCCTTAATGCCTTCAATAATGTCAGAGCTGGTAATATACTTCACTGTAAAGGTTCTTAAAAATGTAGGGAGGTATTCAGAGATGTATCTGCCTTGAAAATAGCCCGTGTTGAACTGTATAGAATTATCAAACATCAGGAGTTAACCACAAGAGATATTTTATGACACTTTATAGTATGCAATAAAGCGCTTTATGGAGTATAATTTTTAAGAACATAAAATATTTTATAAAATTTGCCAAATTTCAATTCCATGGGCCTCATGGGTCCCATATTTTAGGCATATTGAGGAAGTTTGCCATTTGAGGTAGTTTGCTTCAAAAGGTTTTGCCTCATGCACTGTTCTATCCAGTTAAATGTTACAGACACAAAGAGTTTTAGTAGTGTATAGATGAGTCCTAGTAGCTTGGATGAGGCCATTTAGGCACTGAATCCAATTCTTGAATGGATTAAAATGAGTTTTCTAATCTCTGATATGTGTTCAATTATATTCAGCTTTAGTTTCCCCTTTTTATTAAAATTCAGCATTACATGGTTACTTTCACAAAATGTTCTTGCTACTCCAGTTTTCTTGACTAAGTAAATAAAATATATAATGTTTATTTTCAAATCAAGGATAGCTGATTCTCTTGTATCTTCCTCCAAACTCCAACGGAAAAAGATTATAACTATTTCTCAGTCATGTGTTTAATAATTTTCTCCATCTGTCACCTTCTGTTAAGTATTGGACTAGAAGGCTTAAATGTTCCCTTTCCAATTTATTGGTTCAGCATTTATTTATATGGACTTGTCTATTTATTTGCAAATTTGGACTAAATATGCAAACAGCTAGAAAGGGGGTCAGGTTACATGCTGTCTTAAAGATATGTTAAAATCATATGCATGGATTTCTTCATGGTTTTTTTTTACAATTCGTAATATCTAAGAGAGTGTATTATTTGTTGAGCTATCTCCTTTCATCTGTTCTTCTAGATTTTTTGAACCAGTCATAATTATTAGAGGCAGATTTTTCTTATATAATTAAATAATTATCTGTATTCCCCAGTTGTAGCTGAGTAGGAAGGACATTAATACTAAATATATATTTTATAGAAATATATACATGTTTCATGTAGTTTTCTGGCTCACATATTTCATACTTATACCTTTATTCTGACTGTCTCTCCATCCTTTTTTAAATAATACTTATTACAGTTTAAAATTTCACAAAAGCATTATCTTACAAAAGATAAAAAGCTAATACAAAGATACATGTATATATGTATATATACAATGTTGTTGTTAATTGCGAAGTCGTGTCCGACCCATCGTAACCCCATGGACAATGTTCCTCCAGGCCTTCCTGTCCTCTACCATCTTCTCACGCCTACTGCTTCAGTGACTCCATCCAGTCACCTCATTCTCTGCCGTCCCCTTCTTCTATTGCCCTCAATCTTTCCCAGCATTAGGCTCTTCTCCAGTGAGTCCTTCCTTCTCATTACGTGGCCAAAGTACTTGAGTTTCAACTTCAGGATCTGGCCTTCTAAAGAGCAGTCAGGGTTGCTCTCCTCTAGGACTGATCGGTTTGATTGCCTTGCAATCCAGGGGACTCGCAGGAGTCTTCTCCAGCACCATAGTTCAAAGGCCTCAATTCTTTGGCGCTCAGTATATATTAAATGTAATATAACTTCTATAATTTTAATAGCTTATCATGTTCTCCGATACTATAATAAAAGCTACCTTTTTCCCATATCTCATCTCTTATCTATAAACAAATTCTTAAAGCCTCCTCATCAGTCCTAATCAGCAAAAGTCCACTAATAGTTACCAGAAATAAGGACATACTATATATCTTAAACCCAATCAAATAAACCAGCTTTATATTACTTTCTTTTTAATACAATAACTCATATTTTTTCTAAAAATACATTTTTTCTATATCTCATCTCTTAACTATAAACAAATTTTCAAAAACCCACTTAGTGGGAGCAGGAGCAACCTCCATCATCTTGCTGGCTTTCCCATTGACATTGCTTGTGGAAAGCTGAGAGGGAGAATTAGAAATCACTCCTCTTCTTCCTCAGCAGACCCATGGGACTGCTTGCCACTTTGCTGGAGGTTGCAGGAATTAAGGGGGCTGTGGACTGTGAGGAAAATTGCACCCCCGCTCCCCATCTCAACACATCCCCAAGGGCCAAAACATGCTCAAGGGTTGAAAAACTAGAAGTTACCAATGGGGACAAAAGTTAACACTGGAAATCTAAAAATTTGCAAATTTTTATGTGTATAAATTAGGATGTGTTTTTAACTGAGAGACGTCAACTAATTGACCAGTGAACTAATCCTTAACTATATAGCGTATAATATGAATAGGGCATAACATTTGAAGGCAGTTATTAATTCCTTTGTATCACATAAATAACAGCATATTTTTAAAGTGTTGCTCTGCTTTTAATTGTTTGTTCCTGCCATTCTATGATTCTAAACTCTCTGACTCTAGAAATATTTCTTTACCTAAATAGGGAAACAGAATGAACCAGGGTGGGCAGAAAATCAGTCTGTGTGGGAGAGATTTCCAACTTCCTGTCAGTTTCTCCACTTAATTTCCTTGTGGGAAGCTGGCAGTGAGCATTGGAAACCCACCCAGCTGCTGCTGGGTGGGGGAGGCAGCAAAAGAGTGCACAAATGGCCAATGTGGTACAAGTGTAGAGGAACATGAGGAAGGAGCACCTTTGTCTGTTTACTTTCTCCCTGCAAGTTTCACACATGCAAATACTTTGGTAGTGGGGATATGGCAAGGAGCATCAACAATTATATCCATTTGTTCCCTGTTCCCTAACAACCTGTGGGAAGCTTTTAAGAAATATTGAAAATAAGGATGACATGACCATGGCTGACCATAGCACACCATTGCACTGAACAGCAGCAGTATAGCATCACTGAAGTGGTAAAAAAAATCCCCAAATGTCATATCCTTCAGAGTAATGGTCTCAGCATTCTGCATATTAGCTTATTTCAGATACCTTTTTTTGACAAGAGTTTTGCCCTATGATGCAGTGTTTCACCCAAGTGAAGATTACAAAGTATTGAACAGTCACAAGAATTTTAGGAGTATATACTATATATGTATGAATGTATGAACAAATAAACATATATTCCATAATTGTGATATAATGGTGAACTAAACTGCTTATTGTCATATACAGTTGCTTCCCCCCCTCCGGATATGATGTAGAAACCTATCAACATTTTTACTTTCACCATTGGGATATTTTTTTAGGGAGTTTCTCACTCACTTATGGTTGCTTTGTAAAATAATTTTATTACTACACATCTGGCCCTCTCAATTCCTGGCAAATAGATGGGAAAGAAATGGAGGTAATGACAGATTTTATCTTCCTGGCCTCCAAGATCACTGCAGATGGGGACTGCAACCAAGAAATTAAAAGATACTTGCTCCTGGGGAGGAAAGCTATGGCAAATCTAGACAGCATACTAAAAAGCAGAGACATCATCCTGCCAACAAAAGTACGTATAGTCAAGGCCATGGTTTTCCCAGTTGCAATGTATGGCTGTGAAAGCTGGACCATGAGAAAGGCTGAGCGCCAAAGAATTGAGGCCTTTGAACTATAGTGCTGGAGAAGACTCCTGCGAGCTCCCTGGATCGCAAGGCAATCAAACCGATGAGTCCTAGAGGAGATCAACCCTGACTGCTCTTTAGAAGGCCAGATCCTGAAGTTGAAACTCAAGTACTTTGGCCACCTAATGAGAAGGAAGGACTCACTGGAGAAGAACCTAATGCTGGGAAAGATTGAGGGCAATAGAAGAAGGGGACGACAGAGAATGAAGTGGCTAGATGGAGTCAGTGAAGCAGTAGGTGTGAGAGGACAGGAAGGCCTGGAGGAACGTTGTCCATGGGGTTGTGATGGGTCAGACACGACTTCGCAACTAACAACAATTTCAAGATATGTCTAAATCTGCTGAGATTTCAGCAGATGTTTTCCTCTGAAGACTAGATGTGAATTACAAAACGATGATGCATTTTTGTAATACTTCTGGTTTGAATTTGAGGAGTGGGAGAAGAGGGAACAATACTGTCATATAGCACTATATAATAGTTGCAAATGCATCTCTTGAGATAGATCTTGGCTGTGTCATCTGAAGTACTGGTTGAGACAAATATTCGGAGGCAAGTCCCTGTCCCAGTTTAATACACACCTCTCCTGTAAGGAAAATACAGCTTCTCATTTGACCTACTATGAACTCTCATATCACTCTCTGTATATGTTGGGTCAAGGAAAACCATTGGCTGAAGTTAAGTGGCTAAGGAAGTAATGCAAATTTTCTCATTCTGCTGCTTTACACTGGAATACCTGATAAAAGAAAGGTTTATCAGCCTGATAGAATTTAAGATTACTATTATGAGTAATAATTGATGATTTTAAAAATTGAAATTAAACTTGAAACATTGATACTGAAGTAATAATTTGTAAGGGCATAAAAAGCTGGCTTTCCCCCCTAACCATTGGGATAGGGTGAGTTTGGAGCCTAGGGGGACTGCTGATGGCAGTGAAACTCCAAATCCAGACCTCGATGGGTTGCTAAATTTGATTTCCATTGATAATTTTTGTGTGATTTTGTTGTCAGCACATTCAACTACGGTATGTAATGAACAAAGTATTTAATAAGAGTATTTCATTCATTCAGATCTAGGATGTCTTATTTTTGTGTTCCCTTTATTTT